CTTCGTTGTATAAAGAGCTAACATCTCAAAAATTTCAGGAGTAGTTAGTCATTATAAGAAGTGTTTGTAAACTAAAAATCAACAATGTGGGATACTGTTTGTCCGTGATTTGGACAGTCCAGCGTGTGCTCCCGACGCAGGGGAAACAAATTCTGTCGGGGACACCGGCAACAGGCAGTAGAACACACAGGGCTTAAATACACACACCAGTAATCAGGGGATGAGAGACAGGAGGGCAACACACCTGGGAGAAATCAGAGCCAACGGGACAGGGGAAACGTAACCTGAACACACTCACATGAGACGGGGACCTTCAGAATAAAACAGGAAACTCAGACACAGAGAACCAGACAAGACACTGAACTAAACAGACAGATTCACAAGCAGACAGACAGAGGGAACACGGAAGTGGGACCAGGGCAGGCACAGAACAGAAACCTAACAAATGGCAAATCACGGAATACATAATCAGAATAAACAAAAGCATAAAGAAACACAAAACACTGAGCCGGCAGACTCAGGACCATGACAATAATTAGGTTTGTTTTATTCTTCATCAGCAATTTCTTTGAAAAGCACTGTCTGTCTGGGAAACAAGCTTCTTTTTTGGTATTGTTTTTGTTTATTATAGTTTTTTTTCCGTAGCCTCGTCGAAAGTCATTAAATGTAGCTTAGAAAAGCAGCGTGTTGTAGTGGTAATATCATAATACTCAAAGTGTTTTCTATTCGAGATGTTACTGAAAGCCTGTCACTGGCTGTGGATTTTGGCACCTTATGTACAAAAACATGGGACTTTGTTTACCTGCTAGTAATAATTAATAATAAATGATGTTGTTGTTGTTTATAAACAAATACTGACTGGTGTACAAACTTTGAATTCTTTTGCAGCTCTCCGTAACACAGAATTGAAGTGACTGAAAATGTCTCTGTTGGAGAGTACTCGACGGCTATTCAGCAGCACCTCTCTGGGTAAGATCTGATGCCAGTTGGGTTTTTTATATATTTTTTATACACATATATTTAACATCTAGGTCTATTGTTTGTAGATGACTTTCAATAACTGGCCCTTACAGGTAGAAACATTTCTGTCAGACACTCCTAGTTTAGACTGTGTTTTTTGTCTGTGAATGTGTGTGTGAATGGGTGGATGACTAAATGTGTAAAGCGCTTTGGGGTCCTCAGGGACTAGTAAAGCGCTATATATACAGGCCGTTTACCGTTTACCATTTTGTCTAGCTGCACTGCTATAAGAAAGAAGGTGTCTCTGAACGTCTTTCATTTTAAAAATAAAGTTTTACTGACAACCTTGACCTTAATGGTTCAGTTTGAATATTTTTGTCAATTCTTATTGTTTTATTAATTCATTGATTTAATTGATTAGCAGAAGGGGTTTTAATTTATGATCCACCATAATTATTTGCTCATCGTTCTGAAATTTACATGATCAGTCTCCTCCCAGCAGCTAACAGGTACCATGGACTGATAAACCAGGGAGCGACAGATTACTTGAACAGTGTGCTGCAGGTGCTGTTCATGACCGAGGACTTCAGAGAGGCTGTGACAAGGTTTGTTACAGCCCAGCTTTAAGTGTGATCCTGTATTTATCAAATATGAAGTCTATTGTGCATTTTTAATTACTCTTATTTACCTTTCGTGTAGGTACTCTGGAAAAAATCCTCACTCTGAGTTTCTTGATCATCATCTTAAAGTCTTATTTGATGACTTACAGAACCACACAGCATACTCATATAAAATAACACAGAAGCTGGGCATTGACAATGGTACAGTATGTTAACACACAAAACAGCACAACCTTTGAATTGTTTGAAGAGTCTAATAAATGGATCTAAAGTTGATCAATTTACAACAAGTCTTGAAGTAAAGTCTTCTTCATCCTGTGCAGTTTTTTAATGTAATTTAATAACTTAACTTGTTTAAATTATTAGACTGGGTAATTCTAAAACATTTTTAATTAAATAACTTAATTGTTTTGTTGAAAGCATGCACATTTATTTCCCCACCCAGTGTATGAACAGCGTGATGCTGCAGAGTACTTGGAGAGGGTTTTAAGAATGACCAGTCCAGATGCATCAAAGGTAGAGACTGTTCTCCTGTTGGTTGACTGGTTCCAAAAGTGAACCTATTAATATGAAGCTGGTTAAAAAATATCACTTGACAACAAGTATTTGTGCTTTTTTCAGATCTTCCACGGTCAGTTAGTAAACAAGACCATCTGCTCTAAAGGTCATATACAGACTGACAGAGATGCACCTTTTTGGCTTCTTCCTCTTTCACTGGTGGATTCCTGCAGTGAAGACTACAGCGTGGTAAGGATATGACAAGTAACAAAGAGACGTGCAATACATAATAATTTTTATGCATATATTTACCTTTAGGTCTTTAGTAAAATTCTGATTTATGACACTGATGCAGAGATAAATAAAAAAAATCTTTTATTGCAACTGTGTCTTGTAAATTAGATTTCCATGTTTCAGTCAGAGACCAGCACGCCAAAATAATTTTAACATTAACACAACTGAAAGACTGTGTTCAAAAACCACTAGAGTGAGTTGATGGCAGCTGCTAATAATGCAAAACTTTTTACATTTTTATGTTAAATAAAGTTAGTGTATTGAAAACCTTCCTCCCTGAGAAAACATTTATCAGCACTTTACAATCACAGCCTTTATGCTGGTCAGCACATCTTTGTCAGAGCTGATTTTAAATAATATTTTTCAGGTGAAGGGCATTGAAGAGTTTTTTAAACCTTCAGATTTCTGTGGAGAAAATCAGCTGTACTGTGAGCAGTGTGATGACAAAGTTGATGCTACTATGGTGAGTTAAAAAATGTTTATGATTCTTTTATTATTCTTTAAATAAAATTATGAAAACATATTGACTTGTAATGGAAGCAGAGAAGCTCCTTGAGGTGACTGTTGTTGTGATTTGGTGCTGTATCAGTAAAACTGTTGTCATGGATTCAAATATTGAGGATGGATACAAGAGGAAAAACCAAAATAACAACACTGGTCCGGCCGGGTTGAATCAAACGATGATTTAATGAATACACGGGTTGGTTGATGGACACCATACAGCAGACAGCATCAGATCTCAAAATGGTGGAGCATTGATCAAACTCTTATAGCCTCTAGTGGCCCCCACCTAATCATAAAAGCCTAAACATTCACATTCTTTCTCTCACACAGCGCCTAAGCTACGACCTTGGCTCCCTGTTTATCTGCTCCTGCTGAGATGGGGCAGTATGCTCTGTTCTCTTCTAACCAGACAAATAAGGCGATGACTTTCTGCGAACAGTATTTCTTATAACTCAGCAGTATAATGCATCATAAAACAATATCATTCATTCACAATAAATCAGCAGTCTAATGTAATGCAAATCAGTTTAACAAATGTAATAGTTATAACCTTCTTCTAATTCAGGAGCATAATGCAAACTAAAACTACATAATAATTCACAATCTTTAATTAGGGGTCTAACATGGCATAAAATAATATTATAATCCAACACGGTCCTAAATTAAATGTTTTTCATTCAGAGAGATGTAATAAAGCATCATCCAGATGTTTTGTGTCTGCTGCTGAAGAGGTTTGAGTTCAACTATAATTACATGTCATACTTCAAAATCACCTGTTCTGTGGATGTTCCTGAAACCCTGCAGATACCAGAGGTAAATGTACAGAATATTTTAGCATTTAATTATAATCCATTTTATTTTCTTCAGTCATTCTGATGTTTGCCATTTTTCCTTTGGTAATCAGAGTCAGAAATATGAACTATATGCGTTTCTGGATCATTTTGGGGATCTGAGAGGTGGACATTACTCCGCCACAATAAAGATCCAGGAGCAACATGGAGACAGATGGTATCAGTTTGATGATACCAGGGTCACAGAGGTAAGATAGATCACTTATACATTTTTGATACCAAAATACGTTCCTACATTACTCATGCGTTACAGTGGCCCAGCTGATCATTCATGTCAGACTTTATTATTTTTTACATCATCAGCTTGATTTTCAGCCATTCCAGCTGGATAACACTGAGAAGTAAGTTTTTGTGCTTGTTATTTCCACTGTACATTATTTTCCAATTATTTCTTAACTTTTCACACGAGTATGCACTAAACATGCGTTAAATACACTTTTCTCAATTATAGTGTGCTACATGTTGAAGTATCATATCACACTGTGCTATAATCATGTGGTGGGGCGTGGTCTGCGGTGGCGTGCAGGGAGGGCGGACGCACCTGCACGGCATCCTCAATCACGCCCGCCAGGTTAAAACACGGGGACTCAGGTGTGTGTTGTGATGCAGATGTCAAATAAAAATGGCTCAGAACACTGATCCCTGGACCCGCCGTGCCTTATTCATGCCACAAATCACAACTGCAGATTTTTTCTGTGATTGATTCAACTCTGTCCCCAAAACTCTCCTGTGCAAAAGCAAAATAATAAAATCAATGAAAACAATTAAAACATTTATGTGTATCTTTTAATATTTACACTGTTAGTAAAATGTAAACATACACAGACACATATTAATGCCTCGGAAAACACTGCTGCAAAAAATAAATATGTTATAAAAAATTATCCAAACACATCACTGTGAAACTGTGAAAGTAACATATTTGTTACATGTCATATTTGTCAATTAGGTCCCAGACTACATATCTTCTGTTTTATAGCAAAAAGAAAGGTAAGAGAAAATATTTTTGTTGTCGTTTCCTCAGCTGTTTGGTGCCTGAATGATTTTGTTTTTACTTTGTGCTTCATGCTGCAGATACTGGTACTCCAGAGTCCACGGATGTGTCCACCAGTGGACCACCCACCATCAGTAATGAATATGATCAGAGTCAAGATGGGAAAAATAAGAGCAATAGAAAGAGAAAAGAGGAGAAGACAGACACAGCGGATAATCCAAAGACTGCTCGCTTAAGAGAAGCAGGGGGATCACCTGACACCCCCTGTAACGTAGATCCTCTGGACAAAGAACCAAATGAGGACAAAGGAACCACTGGAAGTGATGACCTGGATCAAAAAAATACAGAAGCAGACGATTTTAAAAAGAGCAGACTAGATATTAATCCTGATTTTAAACTCGATATCAGTGATCGATCAGCAGTCTGTGATGATCTAAGCAGACAGTATGAGATGAGTAAATTAATGGATGATAAAGCAGATAACGATGAAAAGGCTAAAAATAAACAGTCAGAGAAAAAAAGCCATGCAGAGCATCCAGCTGACACTGTTGGAGAGAACATATGTGAACATCAGGAGAATAAACAAATCTGTAGTCCTTCTCATGCTGAGGAGAAAACAAAAACAGATTTTCAACATGACACAAAAGGAAAGATTAGTGCTGATAAACCAACAGCAGAGATGTGCTGTGACACATTTCAGGATAAAGAAAAAGCGGATGATAGAAAAGAAAACATACTACAAGATGATCAGAGCCTTAAACAGAGAAGCAGACACAGTGATACACTGAACATGCAGGAGATCAGTGTTACACATTCAAGTGATAATGATGTTTGTGTAGAGAAAGAAATCAGAAATGTGAAGGAGGACAGGAGAGAAAGAAAAGGAGACGAAAAAGGTGACCACAGTAAGTTTGAACAAAACACAGTAGGGGAGGTAACTGGTGCTGCTACAACACAGAAAGATGTTGATGTGGAGGAAAAGGAAGAATATAAAGGAAATACTAAACAAATTCAGATCAGCGAGAAACCCCATCTGAGACCAGCAGGAGCAGAAATAATAGAAGCACCCAAAGAAAACCAGGATGATGCTACTAATGAAAAAACTAAAGCAGAGAGTTTTCAACTAAAAGCCAGACCAAAAATTCAGGGAGTCACAGAAGGAGGACATGGTTCACAGAAGTCAGGAAAAGTTCAAATAACTTATGAAGAAAATATGCAGACTCTAGATTTTGAAATCATCAGGACAAAGATGAATAACATGAGAATAGAAACTGTAGGAAAACCCTCACAGGGCAGCTCTGAGAGATGTGTCAAAAATAATGAAGGAATCACTGAAAAGAAATCTCAGACAACAAATGCAGCCAAGCCCAGAAGAGTAAAACTGAATGATGCAAGTCTGCCAGAGCAGCAGAAAAGAAGAATCAAAAGAGAAGAACGAAAACACGATGACACAAACTATCCAATATACACCAAAACTGATGTAGATGATGTAGAAATAGAAGCTGCTAAATCAAGTGGGTTGTGGTCATGTTTTGTCGCTTTGAAAAAATACAAATAAAAAAGCCAGACCAGGATTTGGAGTCAAATTAAATTGAATCATTATTAAATGATTATTTATTTTATGTCTCCACATCCTTATGCTAATTAAACAGAAATTTTTTTTAATTGAATTTTTTATATTTTTCAACAGAGAGAGCTGTTTAATAATGCTTATGCTTTTGTCTTGGTCTAATTGGAGAATGCAGCATGAGTGCTGTTTCCCTTTTTTGTTTAATATAATACATTACCAGTCTGCCCGACACAGTAACAGTAGTGAAATTGAACTAATATAAACAAATCATGTTATGTTAAGGTGCTTTAAAATCACTTTAGAATAATTATGCACTATTTATCTTATTTGTTGCTTTATCTAATTTAATTTTGCTTTTTAATGTTGTGGCTCTTTAACTGGGATGTATTTTTTTTAAATCATCTGGTCGATATCTTAAATATATTGTTTCCCTGTTTAATATTTCCTAAATTGTTTTTCATATTAGTTATTTCACTTTCTTTTCTGCAAAGAAACTGAGGCATGTTTGATTACTGAATGTGCAGCTGTCACTTTAGCAATAAACATCAGCAGAGAGAGCACATTTCTTTGTTATATACCCCGCTGAACTCTTACTTTTGAAAAAACCTGTAAAAACAGCATATAAGGACATAAAGGAAGGAAAAAAAGTAAACTAAACATGTGAACACATCGGAAAATTGGAATGCAAGTCAAGTACGAATACTACAAGTTACAAATGTGAGTATGCACATACAGAGATTTAATTTTAATAACTTTGCTACAGTAATTTCACAAACCTAGTAAAACAAGTATACCTAGTGATGTGGCAAGTCCTTTGTACACAGGTGTTTCTCCCACACCTTCTTTTACTGCTTCAGTCTCAGCTGAGATCATATCATGCCAGAAAACTTGTTGTACCAGGAAACATGTCTTTAAAACTATAGTATAAATACATCTGTCTGTAACCCTGTGATTTAGCCTGATAGTACCTTACAGGGTTATTTATTAATTTTCAGAAACAAAGTCTTATTTTAGAAAATCTTGTATGGTTTTCAAGTGGTCAAGTCATTTATTGCTTTTTTTCATTGCAGACATAGGTGCCAGCTATCTCTGACTTTGAACTGGATAAGATTTTAAGAAGATATATTAGAAGATTTTTATATGCTTTCAGTTTCTTTGTGGCAATAAAAGGTCATGTGTCCACAGAACAACAGTAATTTTAAACTATTACTGCTAACAGTTCAGTTTTTCATTTTTTATGTTAAATAATGGGTTTTATGTACTGCAGTTGAAGTAAACCTTTACCCTTTGTGGTAATGATAATGCTGTCTGTGTGAAGTTCTTTATTCACCACTCACAGCTTAGATTAACAGATTACTTCAAAACACTTTTTTATTTAGTCAAACAGAATGTGAAGCAACAGGTTGCCACATACCAAACACCACAGTTGGGTAATTTCCCTTATTTATTTATTTTTTCAGAGAACAAAATGCCTGGCTCACATAATCCTCATAAACTCTCAAAGCACTTAACAGTATCAAACATATCTTCCACTGGATGGTTAAACAGGTGTGTCCACCCCACTGTGACTTTAAAGTAAGCTGATAAAATATTTCCAGTTAAAAGTTGAGAAGCCTCATATTTAATCCTTCAAAAATACCTCTTGTTTTTGTGGCCAAATAATTCAATCTTTGTCACGTTTGACCATAAAACTTTTTTCCAGGTGGCATTTGGTTTTAAATGCGAGCAGCTGCAAATTTGAGTCAAACTTGAAGGTGCTGACTATGGAGCAGTGGCTTCTTTCTTGGTCAGCAGCCTCACAGTCCATAGAGATGTATAACTGTCTTCACTATGGACAGTAAAACTGGTGTTCCAGCAGTTATAAATTGATAGCATGCTTGAGACTTGATGGTTCCTGGGTTTTTCTTAAACATCATACCCAGTTTCCTCTTATTTGAGGATGACAATTTGAGTTTTCTTCATCTTCGTAAAGTAAGTATGTAATACTGCGTACTTATTTTCATGGTGTTTGAACTGAAGAACTTGGAATCTGCTGACTTCAAGATATCTTTCCATTTTGTGTAAATCTGCAGTCCTAAAGGATAATTTCAGTTCTTCATTTTGAGGTAGATCACTACCCCTTTCTTAACTTTGTTGGACCAATGAGAGGACCAGTTCAGACTAAGTTTCATGAGTCAGCAAACCTGCAGCTGGATCTTCAGCTGCTTCAATATTTATGAAAAGACACCAGCGACAAACTTGTGGTTTACTGTTGAATATGCTTTGTGACTATGCTGTAGGAACTGGACACATTTTTGGAGGTGAAGCATTTGAGAGAACATGATTATTAAACTTAACTGAAACTAAACTTAGAACTATTACCAACTATGAAAACCATTTTGGAGAACGTAAATGGAAAAAAAAAAATAGTTTGACTTAAAACAATATTTATACAATATTTTGTACCTATAACTAAAATATAAAAAATGAAAATCAAACAATGTCTTTTGTTTCAGCAATTGCCAATTTCCTAAAATTACTCAAAGTGAGCATACGGAAGCTTTCAATATTTTATGGCCATCTACACGACTGTGAGACTAATGAGGGAACTGGCAAAAAAATGAAGAAATAAAGATTAAAAATAATCAAAAACGCAAAGAAAATAACTGGGAAAAAGGTTTTATTTCATAGAACAACACAGACTGGTGTTGTATTTGGAATAAAGGATGATCAATAAAACGATAATTGTCACTAAACAGTAAAACCGTATAATAAGTGTACCATTTACAATACATGTAAACAGTGTCAAGAGGCTTTCTAAAGCATCACAGAAAGTAGCAGCAGTAGTGGTAGGACAGGTGGAGATGATCTTAGTCAAGCTTTCAGTCCTCCAGGAACCTTCATCACCATGTGGAGGACGGACATGTGCTGGATTCCATATTCAGACAGAAGGGTGTCGTCTCCATCCAACATCTTATCTGTGAATATCAGGCGCAGAGCCTCCTCTCCTGCACACACACACACACACACACACACACATATTTTTTTAAAGTAAATCTATATCATTTTTATTAGGCACATCCACAGAGATGCATTAGATTATTAGCCCACATTTACTTACTTTACTTAAGTAATGTACTTAAAGTTGGATTAACTCCTTTAACATGTTTGCCTTTGAAACTCTTCAACTACAAATAACTACATGAACTTGAGCAGTTTGATGTAGAGTTTGTACTAATTGTTCTTGAGCTAGCTTACTTTCATTTTGGGCTTCACTAATTACTTCACTCAGTTTTTATTGACAGTAACTTTTTAAAATCACATGCGCACGCGCACAGCCACAGAAAAGTATCTCTAATACTGTAATGCACTTTCATCAAACCATTATTTATTATCGCCACTTCCTTACTTTCACTTCAAGCTGCTGAGTTTTTACTTTAGGATTGG